CAATAAATTTATAAATAAGTTTTGTCAGAACCTGTCATGAACGGATTTAACAACAGCAACAAAAAGCTATTTAAAGAAATCAAAAGTATTCATCCACAGCCTATTGTAGACACATAAGATTTGCATACAAAATGGAATCCAAGGAATTTGTGATCTAAGAAGATTAGTACATTAAAAGTGAGATATAAAGCTTGGGTATGATTTTGTTAGAGGTTTGCGGATCTTCTATTGAAGTGAATTGTATTATTGAACTTATAACGATTGATGGGAAGGTTTAAATAATATTATCTGGAAAACCTAACTCATTACAATGCTGTTCGGTGCGTGTTGTCTCTCCAAAAAATATGAATATTCTTGATACCCTTAATATAGAGTACAAAGAGTTCTAATATGATCTTTCCAGCTTCCATACATGGATTCAATTTTTTCAGATAATTTGAACATGCACATAAACAAATAAACAAGAAAGTGGCAAGCAATATCTTTAGAACACAAAGAATAGTTATCTGTTGCTAAACAAAAGATTCAGACCGATTTTATGAACAAAATGGGAACTGTTGTTGATTTTCCTAAAAGTGATGGTTATGGAACAAGCAACAAACGCAATACTTCCAAGTGTACTTTTATAAACAATCAACTAAAAGTCTGGGTATCGATCAAAACTTTATATTCAGATTTTACATTATCATGGTAATATGGATATGAAATAGACTGCTTAAAATTCAAGGATTATTGTTTTGACACTGTTAGACTATATTTGTCCCTTTATTCACGGTATTAGATAGCTCAGTCTGTGCACAAAGTATTGGTACATTGACATGAATTAATTAAAATTCTTACATTACCCATCGGATTTATGTCAGTTGAATCTCAAGAGGCTAGAAATAAAGACTTCAAATCTTATCGCGAATATTTTAGCCGAGAAAACATCCAGAAGAGCAACAAATACTGATCTGACCAATAAACTCCTAGTTTCCAGTGATCCTGTTATTTCATCACTGCGTAAATCAACATCACACCGAACAAATCATAACACATTTCCTAATTATAATTTACAATTACTTAAACAATCTTTAAACGATGTTATTGTTTTATAATTTTTTATGTAACTTAAAATTGACAATGTTTTCTTGCACTCTTTTTTGTTTTTGATTTCATATTGCTATTCATGCTAATTTTAGTGAATGTAGCTCTATTATTAAAGTAATTATGAACTTTTCAAGTAAAAATGAATTTTGGATCACTGTGCAGAGATCTTTAATCTTGTCTTGCAAGCCCTAATCATCAATAGTTTGGGTGATTATTGTAACATTAAGATTGAACCTTAAACTCGTTCTGAATCATTAAGGCCATCAATTTGTTTACTATCTCAGTACAAAATTAAAGTAGCTGAGTGTTCAAATATTTTCTTGACTTCCTTGCTACTTAAGACAACATGACTTCAAAACAAATAAGCTTTCAAAACTTGTTGAAAAAAGTTAAAATCTAAACCAGTAGACTCGTTTTTAATTTAATCAATAATCAAACTTTGTTTCTTGAAACCGTGCCTGACACTCCACAAATACAATATGTAGTATATCTTAAAATTGCGCAATTCACAAAGTAAACACATTTCATTTTTTAGTAATTGTTTCAGGGCCGAATTTAGGGGAGGGCTAAGTAGGCAGCAGCCCAGGGGCCCCCACAAATTCGGGGCCCCCACAATTTTATGATATTTAAATTAGAATACTGAAAAAATATTTTATATATATTTGCTATGTGATTTTCCATTAAGTAATACCATAAAATACGTACCCTATCTTCTTTATAAAGTGGATAAGTGTATTCTAAAACAACTTCTTGTTTATTAGTTTAATTTCGTGCATTTTTGACGTAAGGCTTTTGGCGTTTCTTATTTTATGCTTTAGTCAAACTTATGGGATCGCCTAAAACGCCGAATTCTAAAACGCCGAAAAGCCGAAATGCCGAAAAAAATGGCGTAATAATAGAATTCGGTAGCCGTCAAAAAAGACAACGAAAAGTTAAATATCCCCCGGATTTTTTATTGCGCATTTGTAAATGCAAAGTTTAAAAGGACAAAAGCCAAAGCCAAATTTGGCTTTTGGTTCTGTCTTTTTAAACAAAATTTACTGCTGCATTTTATTTTTTAATTTTACATGTTTTGAATTTTTTTAAATTTAAAACAACAATTTAAACATTAATAACGCGGGGGTTGACTACCGGTAATTCATTGCTCTCATTCCGTTTTTTATTCTGTTACTCTAAGATGGTTTTTCGGCATTTCGGCTTTTCGGCGTTTTAGAATTCGGCGTTATAGGCGATCCCCAAACTTATTTTGTATGCAGTTAACCAGTGAACAGTGTTAAAATTTAAAAATGGAAGAAGATCGTCATAAATTAAAGCGAGTTTATATGAGTGTTTTTATAAGAGTTTAAATAGTAGTTAATTGTTACTAGTGTTACTACTACTAAACATAATAATAAATATTATTCAGTAAGTAAAAAAATATATTTCCTTATTTATTTATATGGGGCCCCCACAGTATATTCCGCCCAGGGGCCACCACATACCTAAATCCGCCCCTGAATTGTTTAATAGTTGTTGTTTTTTGTTTAATAAATTGTGTTTGCAAAACAAAATACATTTTTTAATGGCCGTAATAAACTGCCGGTAAAACAATTAGCTGTTGCAAGGCTTTTATTCTTGCAATATTAAAATTTTTCATTTCTTTCCAAACGACTTTTAAACAATAAAGAAAAAATTGTATTTGCAAAACCGTAAATAAAAGATATAAGAAAAGAAAAAAAATATATTAACTTTTATTTATTTAGCTTGTATAGACGAAAAAAAAAATTATTTTATATTTAAATAGAATTTAAAGCAAAATTCTATAATATCAACGCATAATTTAAAATAGTTAATTTTTTAATTTTACTATAGTTAAATTAAAAAATTAAGTTAGTAAAACTATAGTTTTGTCGTAATTTAGTAAAGACTAATTAAATAAATAAAAGAAATGTTATGATGTTTTAAATTAAGCTTATGCCATACAAATTATATGCTGACAACAAGCCTAAAATGGGTATATTTAGGTACAAAAACTATATAAAGATAAAAGTTGTATCCAATATTTGATTTAGAAGTCTATTATAGATGGCATCAGAATATTATTGGCCGAATAACTAAGTTTATTTTTTCATCACGTAGACGACTCTGTTCATCATATGGATCAAAAATATTGTTGTTTTTGATCGTATGATAATAAACAACTTTTGTTCGCTTTGAGAGTGGTCAATATTATTTAAACTAATCACAAAATAGATCAACAATAAATAAAATAAATATATCAATACCAATATTTTTATGTGTTTCAAATAAAAGTTCATTACAAGCATATACTTTCGCAACCTTTATCAGTAAATTCTTATTACAAGTATAAGTATTTACTGATAAAGGCTGCAAAAATACACAACTGGCGGCAGAGCTTTTTTAGCAATCATAAACAAATTTGAACAGAAATCATAACTGGTAAATTTTTATACCTCCAATGCACCTTACAGCATACACTAGTTTTGGATTTAGATAAAGGTAAAAAAAGCCTAATATAAATATTTTTAGTAAATTTTAGGGAGTGTACAGGTATTTGACATTACTAAGATAATGCAGCATGTGAAAATTGCAAGTTGCAACTTTGTGGTTTCATAAATTCCGCGTATTACACCTCCCAATCTTTTATTTTGATGGCATTAATAAAATATAGCGCAGCTAAAACATTGCTTTTTATTATAGCTTATACTTATGAGTTTTAAATAAACCTTCCGTAACATTTTTATTTTCAAAAAGATTACATGTTAATCTGTTAAAAATAGCTATAGGTTGACGCTCAAAATAAAAAGCGTGTAATCTACGTCAGTAAATACCCATTAAAAGTAAAATGATAAAAAATAAAAAAGTTGTTGAAGAGTTTATAAAAATTCAACTGTTGGATTAAATTCTACGTAATTTAACTTTTTGTTAATTCTCGTACGTTATAACGATAAACAAACCCACGCTAGGGTAAAAAATGAAAAGTCAAAACTCAGTCATCACTTTCAACACATTTTCGATGTGTGTAGCGTGTTTTTTTTATAATAAACGAACCAGTAATATAAAATCTGCGATTATTAAATTGGTTTATTACATTTTTTTTTAAATATACTTTATATAATCCTAAACTTATTTTTGTCTTATTGTTTTTAAAAGCATGAAAGGGCTAAACAAATTACTATGTATTTATGAGAATATATTGTTTCAAAGTTGTTAAAGGCAACGTCATGAAAACATCTACAGTATATTTTTTAAAATGTATAAACCTTTGAAATCTCTTGGGGAAAATAATACAACTACTCTTTTGTAGATGTTTCGACGCAATATAAATGTAACCATTTAATTTTTTTTATTTTTTTTTATTTTTTTTTATTTTTTTTTATTTTTTTATGATTATACATTTTTTATTTTGTGCCATAATAAATAATTTTAAAATTATAACTTTTACTTGGAAAATATTCATGATTTCAGCACTTTTTCAAATTTAATTATTATAAAGTTTTGCTTAATATTAGAACGATGATATTATGTGTCCGAATTAATTTTTATAGTTATACAGGAAGTAATGGTTTATTAAGTTACAAACGAAAACTTATTATTCAACTCATAATAACATTTCTTAAGAATGTTATTTAGATTTAAATATTATGTAAAAAACGTCTATCAACGTGCTACTTTTTCTCTTCAGAAAAAAGAATTATTAAAAGAAATTAAATGTTAAACTAATTATATATCATTTCAACTAATTTAAAAGGTTTGTCTTACTTTCTTATGATTTTTTTGTCAAAAGTTTAGCAAACTAAGTTTTATATCTAATGATAAACCTAACAGATAGATAAAACTTTAATCAAAATCTTAAATGTTTGTATACTTTGTTATTACATATATAATAAGAATGTAGCCGTTTTATACCGTGTATAACCATTTTTATTTTGATAAAGTAGATGTTATTTATAAATACAAACAAAGAAAAACTATTAAACATTAAAAAAAAAGAAAAAAAAGAAAGTCGCAAGATGATGCCTTTATTAGCCGTAAAAAAACCATATAAAAAAGTTATTGTACTAATATTAGTATTAAGTTTATTATACATTTCCATAATTAAAATTATACTAAAAGAGCCAGACGATATCAAAAACGACAATGTAAAAAATGACGAAAAATCAAAAAGAAGACACGTAATGAGTATAATTTCAAGCAACGAAAACTACGCAACTTTAAAGCATTCAGTGAACGTTCACTATTGGTATTACATATGCGGATATACCGTTGAAGATCTAAGAAGTCATCCTTTGTTTCCTTATTTACCGTTTCATAGAGACACTATCGATTCGTTACACTTTAAACGAAGCGAGTTGCAATTTGGTGCACGCATTTTTGGATATATACATCCGCCAATTGATGGTTTCTACACTTTTGCTATTAGCTCAAATGATTGTTCAGAATTTTGGTTGAGCAGTGATACAGACCCTTTAAACTTAGAGCTTCTGGCGCAAGTTGGTGGAAGCACAGGTGGAAGCGCAGGTATTTTCTACTCCTAACATTAAAACATTTGTTTTAAATTTTTAAAACATTTTTATATATTAAAACAGTTAATTTTTATTTTACATAGAAGTTAATTATTTTTTCATTACTTGAAACCTTTCTCGTTCATTGTTAGAATAAGAATAATGAAACAATGAAAGTTCTATATAGTGTCGAGCCGGAATTTAGTCCAAAAAAGACGTCTTTTAAATGTCTTTTGAACGTTCTGAACATCTTTTGAACGTTTAAAAGACGTTTTTTTCAGACCACATGCTGGCTGGGTGTAAATGTTAACGTCTTTTATAGCAAAGTAAATTTTTTTATTCATTAATTATTTTTAAATACAAAAAAACAAATATATATATTGCTATAAAATTATTTGAATACAACACCAAATGTGAGGTCTGACTTAGAGTTGATGTGGTGATGTTGGTATAAAACACCTTAATCATAAAATATTTTATTCTTAGATATATTTTATTATTTATATTAGATGAGTTGTATCATTTAAATAATTTTAGATGAGTATTATAAAACATTACTATTATGAATAGTATAAAGTATAAAACTATGATTTAGTAGATTATAACATTTTGGTGATGTATACATTGAGATAAGAATGAAGCGCCTCCCCCTTCCCCTCCCCAATTTCTCTCCAACCGGAAAAAAAGAATCAAAAAGATGAACTTTGTCCCCTAAAAATGAGTTTATTACTTTTATTAAATTACAGTTGTTACTGGATGATAAATAACGATTATTATATTATCCTAATTTAAAATCTCTTCCTATATCGACGGAATAGGAGAAGATTTTAAATTAGGACGCTCTTTTGCATAATTATTTATAATGTAATAGTTTCGCAAACTTTTTACAAGGTTTTTTTATACATTGGTTGCTATGGCGTTGTTACGAGAAAAAAAAATTAATTTTGGTGGACATAGTGCCAAATTATTAAAATTAAATGTTAAAATGTTAAACGTCTTTTTAATCAGTGAACAAAATAATGATGAGCTATATTTATTTAATTTTTGATCCTAAGTAAAACCGGCTGCTTGAACGTTTATTTTATGAAAAAAATTTTTATGGTTTATTTTTTATCCTTTTTATTAGTCTTCCTAAAAGTTTTTCAAATCTATAAATAGTGGTAATTGAACATCATACTTGTTTAGATTTAAGGCATACGTTTAACTTATATTTAGAGTAAGTATATATTCCTTAATTACGCTAGTTGCTTTTTAATTAAATACACATTTATTTTAGGCATGATTACTTTTTTTTTTTTACCTTCTACATTATTTGACTTTGATAGTTCAAGTTACTTAGTAAGTTACCTAGCAATTTTTGACCTTGTGTGTTTAACGTAAAGTACACAATGGCAAATTTATATCGTTTTTGCAAGTTTTATATTGCTATATTACTTGTAGAAAACGATATAATCTCAATATTGAACAAAATATTGAGATTATCGTCAACAATATTGAACAAAATATTGAGATTATCGTCAACAATATTGCTTCCAGTTAGTTGCTATCACTAGAATCTTTTTATTTTCTTTCTTGTCTTGTAACTCTTGTTTAATAATTTCAGAGGCAACTAAAATCAATAAGTTTATTTTTTTTATATAATGAAAAGATATATTCTTTTGAACATTAATAGATTTTGATAAATGTTGTATTTTTATTTGTTTCATTAACTGATATAGATTTACTTAAACTTGTAAAAATGATGCAGCTGTAGCTGGCTTCTATATTTTTCAGTAATTGTAACTATTTAGTCCAAATTAACATTCGAGCAAAAAAGGAGATAATTAACCGCTGGCATCAGTAGTTTTTCAACTGTTTTTTTAACATAAGTTTTAAGTGTTTAAGCTTTTAAGTAACTTTTTAACTATTAAATTTTTAAAAGAAAATAAACGGGAGCATGATATCAACATTCAAAATATACAATCTACTTAATTTATTACTTTTTTGTTTTACTTAATGTTCAAAGTATTGTCTGTTTTTTCTAATCATTACCTACATCTACGCAATCATCTACAACAACGTAATCATCTACATTTACATAACCATCAACTCTAAAATCTTTTTTTGCTGTTTGAACCGATTTTTGTTTAAAAGTTAAAAATTTTTTTCGATTTCTTATTTTCCTTGTTTACTGCGCAGTACTTTTTAAAAGTCTAACCTTTGAAACTTTCAAATTTAAACTTTTCTAAATGTATAAATGTATATATGTTTACTGCGCAGTACTTTTTAAAAGTTTTGAAACTTTCAAATTTAAACTTTTCTAAAGACTTTAGTAGAACAACTTGGTTTTTTTTTTGTCTCCTTAAAACTTAACAAATTAAATTATCTAGTTATGTGTAATTAAGATTTACATTTTATCTCAGGAATTGTATTTAATAAAAAGTATAAATAATTATGAAAATATCAATGAAAAAAAACTTACAAATAAAAAAATGAAATAAAAAAAAAAAAATTAAGTTTTATAAAGTAAATATTTTATAAATATTTTATATTACTTCCACAATATTTTCTATTACTTCCACAATATTTGAATTTTGTAAACAATTGATACTTTAACACCATGATTAGGCTTCTTTTTTAAACTTAAATTGGGTTCTTAAATTTTATTTTGCATCTATTTCTGAAGCTCTAAATAAATCGGTATCTTTATTACAAATGAAAATTGTTTAGGAAATGAATGGTCTTACGAGAATCAATTTGATAAGTACCCTCAACAAAAATCAATGGAAATCCAACTTTATGCAGGAAAAAAGTATTTCTTTGATGTTCTTTGGAAGCAAGAAAGAGCACACGGTCACATTCAGGTTTGAACACACTTTTATACTAGTCAAAATTAAAATTTTACTCTTGCTAAAAAATGGTTATATTCGTCTAGGTTGTATGGAAAAATCCTATTGATAGTAAATTCCAACCAATTAATGGCGAATATCTTTCGCGGTACTATGATGACACTTATATTGAAAGTGGTCTTGTCTACCTTGATCATTTAAAAAATGACTTAAGTCTACCCGATCTCCCGAGCCATATTAAAATGTTTTCGAAGGAACAAAATAAAAAGCTTAAAGATCGCTCAAAACTTTATGAAAGAGACAGTGCAGAATTTTTATTGCTTCCACACATTGATTTTAATGAGGTGGCAGACGTTCTTTCAACGTGCGACTATCACCCCAGCTGGATTATCGAGCCTAACAGTGAACAGTCAAGAAACTTAGGAGAATATGAGGGAGTGCATTTACCACATTACTACAATATATCGACTCGAGTTTTTCCAAAAGATCAAACTTGGAATCACACATCAGAATGCGTGGGCGAGTCTTTAAAACCTTCACACTGCCAAGGAAACGAAGTAGAAGACAATGATTCTGTCAATTGGACAGTTGACAAATATATGAAAGCTCTGAGAAAAAAATTTCATAAGTATTTTTTTACTTTTAAGCATTTTTTAGTTTTTCAAATTTTCAAACTGCTTTTTAATATGTTTTTAATTTAGTCGGTTTAAGTTGCATTCAACTGTAAACGTTGAAAATGCATACGACAGCGTTAAAGGCAATCGTTTTTTGATCGAATTAGCTCTTGAAGATTTAAACGCGATGAATCGAATAAAAAGATTATCAGTATATGTATTTCGTCCACTCAACTCAGATAATTTGTGCTATCCAAAAAACTTTCAATGGAATAAAAATGCAATGGTTCATTTGATTCTTACAGGTATTTTACCACTATAAATTACACCATTCGTTTCTTATGTAATACATTGATATATGATATATTGTATCATTATTGATATGTGATATATCATTAAAAATTTGAAAAGCTATATTCTAAAAACTACATACCGCTAGTGCATTGCAATTAGCATATGTTACTATCATTAATGTAATAGTATTTAATTTTCAAACTAGGTTATTTACTTGCAGATAAAAAAACACACAAAAAAACATTTTTCTACTGTAATTGAGGTTCGAGAATTAATTATCAACTGAGGTAATCATGAGCAACTATACATTACAATTGCAAATATACGTGAACTCACACTAAAAATGTGGAGACGGTAAAAAGATTAATTGAGAAAAAAGTCAAACCGGTAGGGGGTTAAAACTTCTTACTGCCTTTTTCATTAATGGCAGGGTGTGCTTAGAGCGAAGGTTGAACTACTATTGGGTTATTTTAATACAGTCTTTTCATGGTTATTATATAAATTACAAAACTTGTGATCATTTGCAGTTACAAATTGAATTGTAATTTTACCAATTACAATTTAGTTTGGGACAGAGAACAAAAAGGAAATGTAGATAGTTTAAACAATCCAGCGTCATTGTAGACCAAACCCTATAATCAATAAAGTCTATCATCATCAAATGACCAAAAAAAAAATTATTTTGCCTAAAGACTTTTTTGACGTACTGCAATAAAAAAAAGTCTGTAAACAAAAAAAAGTCAAGTTTTAAAAAATGAATGAAAATGACATCAGAAACGTTCTGACATCAGTAAAGTCTTGTGTTAAACAATCAAATAACTTAAATGCAAATTAAGGTATTGAAATGGTTTACTTAAAAGCTGTTTACCCAGCTATTATTAATTATATTGTCTTTAAAAAAAACCTTGTTTATTAATTGTATATGCTTGAAAAAGTATAATAAGATTATTAAAAATAATGGTAATAATCAATTATATTATTTATTACTTTGTAATATACTGATTTATTAGGGGGGAGGGGGTGCAAAGACGTCACAAAATATTTTTTGGGATACGTATAATAATGATACAACGCTTACGTGTTTTGTTATGGTGGAAAGTTTAATCTTTAAAACGTCATGAATATCATTACTTGATAGTGAGGTAAGTATTAAGATTACCCAGTGAACACAGTATTCGTCAAGTGTTCGTCAATAATTAGTGGAGTTTTGTTGAAAAACTGATAAAATGTTTAACAAACAATAATTAATCAAAAATAGACGGAAGATTTATATTTATTTTTCAAGCTTTTTACTGTATACGTTTTATAAACGTTGATTAAGCATTTACAATATTGAATAATATAAGCCAATATTGTACACGTTTAATCGATGATTAATAAACGTATACAATAAAAGGTTTGTAACTTACGTACATTACAAACCTTTTAATGTTACGTATTTTAAATGTTGATTAAAATGTTTAAATATTGACTAATAATGGTTAATATTGTAAACCTTTAATCAACGTTTAATAAACATATAAAAGCTTGAAACATAATAAATTTAACTTGAAATTGATTTTAGTTTAAATAATTAAAAATTCAATTTTAAAGAATTAAAAATAATCTTAATTCTTTATATTTGAAAAAACACATGGTTTGAAAAAAAAATTCTAGTTCTGATGCCGTAGTTTAATGACGCTGAACTTGCATTTTGGGGACTTAGGCATCCTTATGGTAATTAAACTGACGATAAGTTGCGCATTCAAAACTACTATGCTTTACCTGTTCACTTTTCTCTATGCTATCTTTCTAAATTTGCTACTTATTTCTATAGTTTTATTTACTTCTGTAAAAATTCACTTATTCTTGGTACAAATAAGCTGGTTATTAACTTGTCTTTGCAGACCTTGTAATATGAGATTTGTATAACAAAAGTGCAATGCATTATCTGCCCGCATTTCTCTACTGTAAAAGTAGGTGAATTTGTAGAAGAACAGAATTTAAGTATTTTGCGCATATAGGTTATAGTTTTAATGGCGTTACACGGGCCGACGACACGGTTTTCAAAGTGGAGGGGCACAATCGTTAATTTCAAAGTTACCTCTAGATTTTTAGAAATTTCAAAAAAGAAGGTCTTTTAAAAAAAAAACCTAAACTAAAACACTAGGGGGGGGAAGGGGTTTGACACTGCATTTAGACCCCCCCCCCCCCCTTCATTTCCTAAACAGTTTTAAAAAATCTTTTATGATAGCAACTGTGAAATTATCATTTTCCAGATTGCAATGACTCAATCACAATTAAAAATCACAATGGAAAAGTATATCCATAAAATTGTTTAAGATACTTTCGCATACTAACTATTTTTTAAATGAATGCGTGCTGGCAAAAGTTGACTAATCACGTTGCGTGTGATAAATAATTGAATTAATAGATCATTTTCATCAATTTTGCTGTATCATACAAAATTGAGGAACTTTTTCCTTTTTAATAAATCCCTCCCCCTCCCCCACACTTTCGCTACCTTCTGAAGCCACTGCTTTAAAATAATAATCTTTCTATATTATGTGATTAATACAGAAGCAATGTTAATATTATAAACATGGCAAAAATTGATTTTATTTAGCACTTATAAACTTTATAAGTGCGAAACAAAATTAATTTTTACATACGCATAAACAAATATGTTAATTGGTATTGATGTAATTAAGATTTTTTTGTTATTATATTATAAGATTTATTATTTGTGTTAAAAGTCCATTTTTCTATTTTTGTGTTGATTCTATCAAATTTTTTTTAATAGCAGATGCATTTTTGTCATAAATTATTCCCAACACTTAACAAAATATTTAGCAACAAGTACTTAACTTTCAAATGGCAAAATATTTTAACTTTTAGTTTATTCACAATCAATAAGTGCAACGGACACCAGTCTCATCAAAAATAAATTATCAACTGTAATATACACAATGAACGACATTGTCAGTCAACTGCACCAGCTATCGTGCACAATATCTAAAAAAGATCAAGGCGTTGTAAAGATTGATAATTTAAAGGTCAGAAAACAATTATTAACGGCCGCATCAGCTGGCCACCGTATGCTTGACATACTCAAGAGTGCTTTTTGATGCCTTAGTCTTGTTCTATGGCGCGTATTTTTACAATTTACAATTTATTGACGAAGAGCGTCAGGCAAAGCCGTTCTGCTATGAAAATACATTATTTAGTTTTCAAAAAGTTAAAGTGTTATAGTAAAGATAATTTGGATTTGAATTTATTTAGATTTGTTGAGCTCATCACGTTTTGGCTTAAAGCGTTCCATGGTTCTACCAACCGTATGGTCACGTTTGGTGAGGAAGTTGTTTCGTTCATCGCAGTTTAAAACAAGTTGTGCTTTGAGTTGTTTGATGAGTCTGCGAGCTCTAAAACTGTATATTGAAAACGTTAAGTTTGGTTGTTCACTTCGCGTTGTCAGGTTAAATCTTGATTTTCCCTGATTGCCAGATTTGTTTCGTAACTTAGTGTTGAGATTCATTGTGTATATTACAGTTGGTAATTTATTGTTGATGAGACCGGTGTTCGCTGCACTTATTGACATTAAAAGATATAAATCATGTGTGTGACCACTTCACTGCTTTGTTAATATTGATTTGATAACCCTGATTGTTTTACAGTCGTCAGTATACATGTTGAAATGGTGTAGTATTTTGTCTGGTAGATTATTTATGTAGACAAGAAATAGGAATGGGTCGAGATCAGATCTTTGTAACATACCGCTGAAGATTTTCTTCAGACTTGTTAATAAATTTTTAATAATTAAACTTGTAATTTGTTATAAGATTAATAAAAAATTTGAGTATAGAGTAAACGCGAACGTGTCATATTTTACAACACGCTATTTTTTTATAATTGTAAATGATATCTACTGGGTTGATTACTAATAATATATAACAACTTGTTTATTAAAATTTTTTTAATAAATTAAAATTATTTTTTAGTTAAAAACCAAGGAGCCTGGGTACAACAATACGTTGAATCTTTATCAAATATATATGCTAAAACTAAAGACGAAAACTTTAATTTAATTATTATAGACTTTGAAAGTTTTGACGTGAATATCACAGAACTAATGAAACGCAGTATTCTTCCTCATTGGCAGGTATAGCAATTTTTTTTAGATTAAAAAAACAAAGAAAAATTACTTAGTTTTGGTTTAATTTTGTGTAAAAATACAATAATACCCGACGGGCATTTGTTTTTAAAAGTTACGATCTAAATGTATTTTAAATGTCTTTTAAACGTCTTTTAAACATTAATGTTTAAAAGACGTTTAAAAGACGTTTAAAACACATTTAGAACGTAACTTTTAAAAACAAATGCCCGTCGGGTAGCATGATTCTATTCAAACATGGTGATTAACTTATAAAAAATGGGAATAATAACTCTTTGGAAATGATAAACCAATCAAATTATTGTAATTAACAAGTATTTCATTGGTTAATTCATTAACAAGTATTTCATTGGTTAAATCTGTAGCCACTTGTAGTCTCTGCCTGTTTTTATAAATCCTTTTTTTAAATGTAAATGTTTTTTTTATTTTATTTTCTTATTATATGAATAGCAAAATACAATTAAAAAAAAAATTAACAAATTTGGTTAGTTAAAACTAAGTTTTGATACAAACAGAAAAGTTAAAACTAAGTTTTTATACAAACACAAAAGTTTAAACTTAGTTTTGATACAAACAGAAATTTAACGTTATATTAAAACTGCTAAATAATGATAACCAGCAAACCATTTTTTAAGCAAATCCAATAATTTTTAGGTTATTACACAATCTGGTCGATTTCATAAAACATCTGCTATTCAAAATGCTATTAATTCGATAAAGGAACAAGACAGCATTGCTTTGCAGACAGATTTGCATTTGGAGTTTCCTTTAAACTTCATTGACGACTCACGGAAGGTATAACGTTATTATAAACAGTATTTTTTTAAATTATTTTTAATACTGTATAACTTTATTATTCTTTGAAAAAGTTTCATAAGCAATTTTTTTTAGCATTGCATCCAAGGAAAAATGGGTTATACTCCACTTTTAATGAGATTAGCTTGTGGAAGGTACATTCATAATGCTGCAGGTTTCTGGGAAGCCTTTGGATATGGCATATTTGGAATCTATAAGAGTGATTGGGACTATATGGGAGGTAGGTTTAGAATAAGTCGAATTCAGAGTCAAAGTCATAAGTTAGAGAGCTTTTTAAAATACCACTGCCAGTAATTTAGAACAAAATAATTTTTTTTTTAATTTATCATGCCCTCTCTTCTCCTCATACAAAAAAAAGAAAAGACCTTTACTAAAATTAGAAGTACTTGGCGCAAAATGCTAGCGCGTTTGTTTATATTTTTGTGAACGCAAGGAGTATATTAGTTTATTATTATTACTTCTTATATTTAGGTATGGATGTTGAAAAGTTTCAAAATAAGTGGGGAGGAGAAGATTGGGATTTTGCAGATCGCGTCATAAAAAGTGGTTTAGAAATCGAACGTCTTAGAGTGCCATATTTCTTTCATTACTTTCATACCAAAAAAGGAATGTGGGATAACAGCTTTTAGAAAAACTAATACAAATAAAAAAATTAAATTTTTTTCAAACAATGTGCTTTGGAAAGTGATAAACTATTTTTTTTAAAAAGATACTTTGATTGAAAAAATCCGACAAAGATTTTCCTAAAAACTAACGATTATCATAAAAAACCGAATATTATAATATATTATTTATAATAATAGTATAGGAAAAGAATGCAGAAAAACATATTCAAGAAGCAGAATAACAACTAAGTATTTACCATATTATATATTAATTTATTACCATAAATTTATATAAAAGTTAGATACTAAATTTGAAGTAGTATAATGTTATTAGAGTCAACGCAAATGTGTGTTTGCGTAGGAAAGTAGCATCTCCCTAATGAATTTTTAGAGTCAACGCAAATGTGTGTTTGCGTAGGAAAGTAGCATCTCCCTAATGAATTTTTGAAGAATTTTGAAGAAAAAAAAGTCAGCAATTTACAACTTTTATAAACTAGTTGACAACTTCAATAAAATAAAAATCTTTTCTCATTCAGAAAAAAACTTTCTCCGCTTATTTCCTCGCACACGCGCAAACATACTTTTCATTTATTCGGCTCTGAGAATTATATATCAACTAGGATTAATACAATTTTTAATATATATTTAGGTAATAATTTATTATTCATTTTGTTAATACGATTTTTTTAAATAAAATATTTTTATTAATAAATATTTTGTTTTATTAGAGGGTATTGTTCTAAAATGTTTATGAAAAACCATTTTTAAACCATTTTTAAAACTAAAGTCCGATAGCAAATAGCGAGTTAAAAAAAATTTTAATATAGTACAGAGAAGCTTTAAAAGTTAACAATAAGTTAAAAGTATTAAACGAGTGCTCATCATAAATACATCTTACTTTTAAATTTTTTAATTCGGCGGATCATCTTTATTGTGTCATTATATGTAAATATTAACTTTCAAAAAAAAAAAGTTGTTTTTAACAATTAGGGATTGTAATTTTTCGTTTGCAGGGTTTTTACATTTTTGAAATCTAAAACTAAGTAGATTCTTTTAATGTATTACCATAAATTATAAAAAGTAACTAATATTTTTTTTGACAAAAAAAAAATAATGATGATGCTGGACATTTGATAGAAGAAGTTTCATGCAATGTTTATTAGTTTGATAAATGACAAAGTTACTCAAAGCTTATTTCTTTTGTAAAAAAAAGTTTTACATTTTTACTGATTTTCTACAAGATTGTACACTGGAAAAAAGGAACCTTAAATTGAAAACCAAATGTAGTAATGAGTAAAGATTCAGCATGAAAACTTTAGCTTTTTTACAGCAGTTGCAACAGCGTTACTACGTAAACTGTATCTACAATACTACGATTATTTAAAAAAATTACAATACTGCGCGCAGAAAAGTATCTGCAAGACTGCGCGGAGAAAAGTAACTACAATACTGAGATTCACTTTGAGTTTACGCCATATACTTAAAATATTTATTTACACTTCAGCTACCCATTTAAAGACTAAACGAAACATGTGATTACTCATAATGAGCAAAAAGATATCTGCATCAAATATTTGCACACTTTGCATTAGAAAAATGTATGTTTATCTTGCCTTTGAACAAACATTGTTTTAAACAAACATTGTTTTATCTTACAACAGCTGCAACTGTCAACAATGTTGACAGATGCATCTCTCTGTCAACATTGTTGACAGAGAGATGCATCTGTCATATAAGTTTTCAACTTATAAGAGAGATGTATCTCTCTTATAAGTTAAAAATTAGCTATGCAAATATATCATGGGCCCTAACCATCAAAACTTAAAAAATTTATGGCTTGCAAAAGCATTCTTGCAGAATTATTTACTGTAAAGATAAGCGTGAACATGCTAAAACTTTAATGAAAGAAATGAAAATGATAAATGTATTTGAATTGAATATCTATCAGCATTTAACTTTTTTAATGTATTGATCTCCTCCAAATAAGTCTCTCTCCTGCAATCTTTAATAAAAAGTTTGAAATAACTACGCTGTAAAGAATGCAGCGCCAAATTTTCTAATAAAACTGCCATATCACAAAGCCCGATTTATACATTTAGAACTAAAATGGTCACGCGACTTTTAGATATTAGGTGTGGCGTGACATTTACAATTAACCAGTCACGCGACTTTTAGCTAATAGGTATGGCGTGACATTAATAATTAAATTAGTCACGCACATTTTTTCTAAAAAAATATATAAAAAGTTTTTATTATTTCATTTTATTTATTTTTTAAAGTATGGTGTGACATTTAAACATCTAAAAAAACTTATTTTTCACGGGACACCTAAAACACTATTGTGTCGTTTTTTACCAAGCCCAACTTAACAAGACATATTTCAATTCAAAATTTATTATTTATATTTAATGATCAAAAATTAGTCATATATAGTTATTAGAAGCCTAGGATTAGAGACCATCCAATTATCACATGTTATATTATAATATAGTTTGATTGTCACAATTATTATGCGGTCCAAAACAATCTGCTCATGCTCTCCTTATGAAACTTATAAAACTTGCTTGATACCAATCAGCTATTTTAATGATTTCTGGATAGTAGTAATACCTGATTCGATAACATTCCTAACTTTCTCTAGACCAGTAATGTACTGGTCTAACAAACTTTTAAATTCTCTAAAAAGTAGCCTACATTGTTCCAATTGAAGGCAATAGCACATGCGTATTGATATGGAAGTTGTCTTAGTGTTTTTGGAGCTAATCCACAATAAAGTGTATTTGTCATTTTTAATTAGTCAATTCTTTCTTTTTATAAGATAATAATTCTTTCTTTTTATAAGAAAATAATTGTGACTGTCTAGAATTTGGAACATTTCAATATTATAATTTTTCTTTTTTTGCACACACCTTTTGAGATTATTAAACATTTTTTATGGCGATTTTCATTTAACTTTATTTCCTATTTTGATTGTTTATTTAAATTAAGACTCTGCGAGGGAAAACTTTTGATCTTTTTTTGTTTTGTTTTTTGTAAAACTTTGCGTTACGTAATTTATGGACGATCCCTATGCCCAATTTAAATGTACTAAATGTCCCTTATTATAACAAAAATCCCTTACACCAAAAAAGTTCAAAAACCTTGGGAATCTTTTTCTTTTTGAAACAAGTGTTCTGAATATGTATACTACAATACTGTTTAAACACTGCTCATAACAAAAGACGATTGGAATTCCCCATCTTTAGAAATTTTTTTTCCAGGTATAATAGATTTTTTATAACTTTTTTAAATTATTGATTTTCAAACTGGTTTTTAGTATGCAAGAAATTTATTGCTTTGATGTTTGAAAATTCTATATGTATTCCAACTGCAAATAGAACTTTTATCTTAACATCTTAACAATAAAGAGAAAAATATTGAGTTGCACAATGTTTACATCAAGTTCATGTCAACCAAGCGATGAGTCAAAATAACCGGAAGTTAATAACTTTTTTTTTAAGTCTAATAAAAACTGGCATGAACAAAAATCAAGACAAATACCCGATGGGAAATTAGCTAGCGACTAGCTAGCTTTATAGCAATTTTCAAGCGATTTTTATTTCTTATTCGATTTTTATTTCTTATTTTATAGTAAAAATTACTTTGTATGATTAAATTATGTTTTCAATGTATATCATAAAGTCTATTTATGGCCACATTATGTTTCATTTATGGTCACGTACGGAAGTTGCAAGTTTTTCAATTTTATGTAGTTATTTTTATGAAAATAAATTGCTTGTGAGTATTTCGATTGAAATATTATATTTCTACAACTCATATTTAAATTAAAATATATTAATTTTTAAATTTAATATATTTTCAATAAGAAATAGCTGTCATCAAATATTTCTAGCTAGAGTATAGCGTGTTAAAAAATATTGTATATTTTTAAAACTATTTCGTTATTAACACGCAAAATAATAAAATGATAATAATATATACATTTAAACATTCAGGTAGCCTAAAATATGATAAAAATATCTTTATAACTGTTCTTTAAGAAAATTTTAATAGTATGCGTATGATACCTTTGCTTACAACACGCTCAAGTCGAAACTTAAATAATATTCTTTCATGAACAAAAAATATTATTTAAATTTTCGACTTGAGCGGTGTTGTGAGCTAAGGGACGATATTGCTTTAAGTCTCAACTTCTAAATATAAAAATAAGGAAAAATACAAAATTACGCACAGAAATGGAAATGCCCTTCTTAGAAAACGTCGTTATTTTTAAGTTAAATTCAATTTTAGTTATCTTTTCATTGTTTATACAAATAGTGGATTTCTCTCCTAAAAAAATAAGCACATGTTTTAATTGTTTGCACAATATTAGATTGAAGAGAGGCATTAACAAAATATTTGTTAAATTCTTGACATATATTTATTTCACTTGTTATAATTTTTTTTTATTATTAGTTTTTGTGGTAAGCAAGTATGTTTCTTTTATTTTCTTACTTTTTTTGTTACTTAGTTTATTACGTTCCAAATCCTCTTTATATATATATATATATATATATATATATATATATATATATATATATATATATATATATATATATATATATATATATATATATATATATATATATATATATATATATATATATATATATATATATATATATATATATATATATATATATATATATATATATATTTTTTTTTTTTTTTTTTTTTTTTTTTCTTTAAATTTTTACAACTACATATTAATTACAAAATTTTTTTATACTCCGATAACATAAACAAAATAAACTTCCAATACAAAAAAATTAATATTTTACAAAATACCGTTAAGATAAACATAGGAAGCAATAATTAAATATGCTATGTCTTGATAAGGGTTTTGACTGTTGTAGGGAACTCGTAGAAGACTGAGTTTAGTCTTATCATCGAGAACCTTGGGGTGTTGCGTAAAGTACACATATACCCATTATGATTCTCATAAAATAAATATTTTAAATGTCATTGAGGTAGACTTTTCTTTTCTTTTTATTATACTATGTATGGTGTTAGTGTTGTGGTTTATAATAATAATATTATCTTT